CTTGGTAGAGTTGTCTGTTATAGTATTCTCTTTTTACAGTGATCATAGCTTTGAAAAGAGAAGTAGTATGCCATACAATATGCTAATTTACTTTGTTCATAGCAAGGAAGTAGTTCTCAGTCTAACTGGTAGGTGAGCGTACTGAAAGCAACCAATAATCCTTAGCCAGCTGACAGTTATTCCTAAACTGTAGTACTAATCTCTATGGAGCAAATAGTGTCTTGCTAACTTGGGCTGAGTTTAGGTTGCCTCCTGTAGATATTCTGCTCACATGCCACAACTGCTGTGGTACCTTAAGCTCAAGGAAATGAAGAGTTGTTCAGGGCTCCCCGTACTATCAGAGAAGGAATTGTGCGATGTTGTCCCCATTCTGGTATTCTGTCGTCTGGGACTGTAACAAACAGAAAAACCACAGCTGTCTTGTGGGAGACACAACCATTTCCTAGGGTATGTATCTGTGGGGGCAGCGGGAAGCAAGGCACTATGTCAGTTAAGGATCCAGAAGCAAATAATGTCTTGTGCTTACTATCATCCCTGTGGCGACTGTGCGCTGTCTTTTCACCTGTGCCAGTTGCAAAGATGAGCATGATTTTCAGCATGTGATTCTCCATTTCAGTAAGCAGTCCGCTAGCAGTGGACAAATTGCACACCAGTCCTTACATCAATGTGTCATTACTAGCAGTGCTCCCGAATGAGGTTTTGACTTGTATGTGCTTGTTTTGTTAGAGGAATGAATTGAATTTTTAGCATCAGAATTAATTTCACTGGCAAATACTGAGTATAAATGATGTAATAATATCTCAATATGTGGAATACGTACCATCTATTGATTTAATGACTGATCTTCATCTGCATCCCTGGGGCATATCTCCACCGTCTAACAGATAGTTACGGAGTAGTGTCTGTGATAGTTACAGAGTAATGCTTCTTGTCTAAAAACTAAGTATTTTTTATTTAGAATGCTGAAATACAGCAATAGCTTGACTACTCTGATTAGTTTTATGAATAATCCGCATTACCTTGGCAGTTGTAGTAAGCAGAAAGAAGGCCTCCTTCTAGAGCATTTGAGACCTTATCTCCTCTCCATCATTCAAAGAGCTCCAGAACATACTGATCCTGTTTTATGACTGAAGACTGGTACTTCTAAATGTAGAAATAGTGGCTGACAGAGGAGGTACTAAAACCTCTGTAGCAGTGTTTTTCTGTGGTTGTGTGCTTATACTCTGAAGAAATGTTTTTTCTTAAACTTGAGAGAGATTTTAAAGTAACAGGGGGCCCATCAAGAGCTACTTCTGCATTCCCAGATTCTGCAAGTGATAAGTCTTGTGACTGAGAGAAGTATTTCTGTCTCCTTAAGGTGCTTCTGTCCATCTGTAATCCCATGGTAGTTACCAGCTATTCTGCATCCTTGTCATGACCCAAAGGGTTACCCAGGCTATGTATTTATAGAGACCACGACAGTGGGTTTTCAAGATTTGATAACACACAAGAACATGGAGGCTTTATTTTCTAAATTCCTTTATTACAGATTACTACAAGTTACTATTAGTAAAGCAAGTATACTCATGAATAATATATGTGCACACAAACACACATATATATACATATTTCAAAATAGTATGGGTACAGTGCTCACCAAACCACTTCCAGGAGTGGAGCCTCAAAGCTGAGGCCAAAGTCTCAATTCAAAGAGTGAGAGTTTGGAGTCAATCAGGTGTTCCTGGTGGTGGTCCAATAACTTGTCTAGGAGATCTCAGAGAAATTCATGCAGGGGTGGTTCTCAGAGAGAGAGGCTCCATTTTGGGTAAAAGCAAGCCATTTTTATATGGCAGAGAGATAAGGGGGTGTAGGACACCACTACCTGGAACAGTCAATAGGTGCTGCTAGTCTCTATTTTTCACCTGGGACACCCAATAGATGATGGCATTTTCCTTTCTCTCAGACCAATTTTTATTTTTCCAGACTGTCTTCCTGTTCTTTCAGCTAAAACAACCAATAGCAGTTGCCAATTACTACTTTCTCAGAATGTTTTCTCCCTTTTCCAGACTTTTTCACCTTTCCAGACAATAAGTTGCAGTTACAGTTCCTTGTTTTGCACTTACTGATGGTATCTCAGGATGTCTCTGGTTTCTAGGTACCCAGCTATACTTCAGAGATGCCAGCTGCGCTTCTCAAGGGTGTTTCTGTTTCCCATGCTGGCAAGCATTTCCTCTGGCAGTATTTCAACTGACATCTTCTGTTCGGTATTTTTCCCCTTGTAACCAGATCACCTTTATGGCTGCTCAAATCACTTGTATGGTGAAGAAAACAGAACAAAAAAATGATCACACACTGACAGTTACTTGTAGTAGTGCAATTTTATGGCTTTCTTTATTTCACCAAGGAAAGGAAATAAAACTGTCACTGCCATGAAAAGGCTCATAAAAAATTAGAAGTCCTTGACAGTACGTCCTGCTCATTAGCTTTATTGCAGTTTTACTAAGGAAATGTATGTCAGTCAAGATTCAGTATCTGTCTTCATAGCTAAAATTTCAGAATGCTACAGGAAAACGTGTTATTTTCTGATACATCTTCAGTAGATTGATAGGCAGCTTTATGCAGATCTTCAGGATTGCAGTCTTCTGGTATGGCAAGACGAGTACAGAACTCCTGAGTTTTTACCTGTCAAGGGCATATATATTGAATTATTGTTTATACAAAACCTAAGTGATTCTAATTCCTCTACAGTCCTTAACTGAACATTCAGCCAAGTGTAATGAATTTAAGTAGCAGTAGGCTAGATAATCTTGTCAGGAATCAAAGTGGTTCTGAGACTTGCTTTTATTTTAGACAACTTAAGTGCAGTTTAGATGATCTGAATTTCTCCACTGTTGTCTAAGCAGATCCCCAAGTGGACACTGTCTAAGGGTCTTTGGAATTATGCTTATCTGAGACTGTTTTCAATTAGAGATTAAATGGAGAGAGAGTTGCAGCAGTTAATGCCTTTTTATGCTCTCTTGTGTAATATTCACAGTAAAAATGTGATTTAATATTGCTGTTCAGATGTCTATATTTGAAGCAAAGTGCACACACAGGTGGAATAGGAAAATATTTTCTTTAAGATGCTATTCAGTCAGTTACTTCAGCAGTAATTTTAAAATTCTTTCTTCCACCTATCTCCATACGTTCCACTTATAGGATGTTTTCCATGGCAGTCTAAACTTAAGGAACCATTCATACAATAATGCTATTTGGTGATCTGTAAATGGGATGCAATTCCAACAGGAACCAAAATTGTAATAAGACCATTTAGTTCCATCTCTTTTGTGTATTTTACTGTAAGCTGTTGTATGAAAAATGTGTTTTGTTTTCTGAATAACTTTTAAAATAAATATACAGAAACTGAAGTTTGAAAGAATTTTGATTGGATGTGATCTTGAATAGAAAGTATGCTTGTTGGAGGACCTCAAAGGGTCCTCTAATTTCTACCTCATTCATGAGGAAAAAAAGAAAAAATACTTAGATCTCATTAACAACTGAGAGCCAGAGAGTAGTTAAAGTAAGGCAAGCCCCCCTTCCAAATCTCAGCATTCATCATGCAAGTTTTTGCATGATGAATGAAACTCTGGGATGACAGTAGTTGGGTTGCAGCACAGTACAGTGTACAAGAGACTGACTGGGAAGGAAAAAAACACTGAAACAGTCCATGGGGCACTACCTCTTCATGCTATTGGTCACCAGTTCTTTGTGCTTTAAGATGTTTTTTTGTGATCAGTAGAGTGTATTCTGATGAAGACGAAGATTCTCAAATTTGTTTTTACAGGGACAAAGGTCTATAGAACTATGCACAGACAAACAGCATTCACTGTAATTATTAGACAGTAAAACTGTTTTTCTATCCCAGTCACCTGAGAACATAATTCAGAATAGATAGCCATTACTTCTTTTCCTTTGTCTTATATAAGATATGTGTTTATATTCTTAGGTTAAAAGTTAGTGAATATTTATATTTACGAATCACCTTACATAGGACATTTGTTTCTTTCAGCACCAGGAAGAGAATGTCAGTGATAGTGCGCACACCATCAGGAAAGTTAAGACTCTACTGCAAAGGAGCTGTGAGTTTTGTTCCATTTTCACTGTGTCAAAGAACATGTGCTACCAATACAAATACAAAAGCAAAAGGTTGTTAAAACTGTACTCAAAACACTGAAAATGTGGGGGAAGGAATGTTGATACCTTTTTCAATTTACATCACTTTACTATATAGTTGTTTAATGTGATGAACTAGTTAATGTCTTTTTTTTAACTAACTGCCTATGAAGGTATGACAGACCTGTTCATCCTGTTCTTTGTACTAGACTAATATCTTTGTACTTCCTATTAATTGCTTCCTTCTGTAATCCAAGAAAATGGGTGAATGTGTGGTTTAATGTATTAGTTACTTGCTGGAGCAGCTGAGCATGCATCACTAGGTAGAAACAGTAATCAAGCGTAAGTGACTAGATGGGAATTTTAACCTACCATTGATGTTACAGCAGAAGTAAATTTTCCTGAAAACAAGATCTATAGGAAGATACCTTCCTCAATCATAATGTGTCTGGGAATGGAAGAGTTCCTCATTAGCTCTGCTTCTGTATCTAAAGTCAAGTTTGAGGGGGAGTGGGATGCAAAGCCAGTTCCTGAATGGTTTAAAAAATGAAGTTGATTGCATATAAATGTCCGTTCTGTATCTTCTCAAGTGGAGAGAAGAAGCTGGTGTTAATATTTTGTATATCAAGCTGGCTACAAAAACCTGATAATAGCAGTTATGAAACACTAGTTTTAACTTGTGGGCTTAATATTAGAGAGGAAGACAGCATTTTAGGAGATCAGATGAATTCACATGGCAAGATAAGGAAGATGCAGTGCTTTTCAAAATGAAGGAAAATAACAACAAAAAATGTAGGAGAGGAAAAACTGCATCATAGCAGAATTTGTACATTTACAGAATCTGATTATTTGGAATGTCCCTTTTTCCTTCCTCCGAAATAAAATTACTTCTATTCATTTTTATGCTAAAATAAATTAATTCAGTGCTGCATGTTTTTCTGCCATTTTCCTATATGATTTGTATTGTCTGCACAAGAAACTTCATTTTTCTGTTACATTGTTCTGAGTTCATTTTATTTGTTTTGTAGGATACTGTAATTTATGACCGTCTTGCTGAAAGTTCAAAATACAAAGAAATCACCTTAAAACATCTAGAGCAGTTTGCCACAGAAGGTAGGTGTGATATTACTCAATATAAACCAAAATATTAAGTTCAGTTACTACTCAACTTCAGTTTTGCAATTTTATGTTGTTGTAATGTTTTATTTATGTTAAATTTGAAAATTATGTTTTAGTAATGCATCCCAAAAAGATCTTCCTTTTCCTGAGAAGTTTCAGTTTTATGCTCAACAAAAAACCCAAAGAACACCCACACAGTACACAATGGAATCTTTTAAACAAAATATATTTTTCCAGGGAGGAAACACATGGCACATTGTTTGTTTCTGTGAAGATCTCATTTCCCATGAGCACTTTTATGTCCCACACACAATGAATGCTGTAGGAATGGCACACAGGAAGAAGTAGCCAGAGTGAGGATGCTTGGAAATGACTAATGTAGTGCTTTTAAGGTAGCTTTATGCAATATTATTTCTGTCACCAGTCGCAGTAAGGGGAATAGTCAGCACTAGCTTTCCATGTGGTGTATTTTGGTGTCTCTGCTCTTTTAACAATCACTCTTGAAAAACAGTTGCTGAAGGTGGAGAACCCGTCCATGGGAGTTCATGAAGCAGGAATAGTAAGTAAAATTTAGAAGACTGAGATTAAGATGATTGATACAACCAGTTAGTTATCTAATAATAATGAATTCCACAGTATAGACATGAGCAGGAAGACAGACTGTAGAACTCTTTTCTGCTTTTGTCTAAGTTCTACATATCTTCCATGCCATGACCCCTTTCTGGTATCTCAGTAAAGGATTAGAGTTGTTCTGTATCATAGTGTTTTAATTTATCAATGAGTTGTGAGAGAGAAGTTGGAAGCAGAATTATAATAGTTATGGGAAGCCAAACGGCAATTTTTTTACCTCTTCATTTTTTTAATACATTGTTAATAGAACATTAAAACAATCTTTAATGTGTATTAAGAAATAAGCTTACACTGGAAAGTAAACTTTATTAAAATATTTTCCTCCTAAAATACAATCCTTACCTTTTGATAACTGATGTCTGGACAAATCTTCTTGTGTCAGGAAAGGTCCGTTTTCTGTCTGTTATATATATTTTCCTCTTTTGGTTTATAATGGAATTTAGTGTTTCGATTAGTGTCATAGTCAGCACCTTGAGTCTCTTTGATTCTGTCAGGGACAGCAGAAGCAAGCCACCGATCTGTTTCTTTTGTTAGTTTTCCATATCAAGATCTCTCCACTAAACATTTGGTTAGCCTTAAATCATCTTAAGAGTATCAAAGTTCTAATAAATTATACAATTATACAGTAAATTATACAACACAATTAGTTGAAAGCAGAACTAAAAACAAACAAATTTAACTGATGGTGCAACATGAAGCCTCAAATACACTCTTTGAGTTCATAAATCTAGTTGATCTAGTAGATTGGCCACTTAGGGGGTTTATAAAGGCTTAACCAGGATCAGTCTAGAAAAGGTTACTTAGATATGAAGTGAGTTTGGGCCATAACACTATATATTTGTGTACAGAAAAGGTAAAAATAGATCAATATATGCTATCCTGTGTGAACTGATACGAAAATTTCAATTCAGTCCTTAATTACTGTTCTCATTGAATCAATGGTACAACTGATACCATTTTTATCATAGCAGTCAGGTTGGACCAAATGAATCGACATAAAAAATGAGAAATTCCACCCATCTTTAAAACCATTGTACATAGTAAGTATTAGTGCTAAGTTTGTTCAAGTGCTTTTTTTACCATTCTTTTCAACAGATGAAAAGATTTACTGTTCAGAAGAGTGAATTGCTAACCTTTAAAAAGCATAGAATTCAATCTTTAGAAAAAAAATTTAAGTTCGTCTCTCTCTGGAATCAGTTAAAGAAATCAGTATTTATTTTTGCATTAGACTTAAATTGCAGCCAGTGATGTTGCAAAGTTTCTCATTTGTATCCTTTTATATGGCAGTACAGTATGTCCTTGGCATTTGCTGCATGCTCTTGGTGTGTTCAAAAATGAAGTGGTTAGCATGGCTGGCATTTATATTTAAGCATTTATTAAGTTTGAGTGTTAATGCCTGCTTGGATAAACAGAAAAAGTGTATAATTTTCCTGTGTCTTTCTTCCAGTCTGTTAAGAAGCAGACTTAATGGTATTTTGTTTTCCACTTCTCATTTGGAAGATTCTTTTAAATCAGAATGAAAAGAATCTTTTTTTAAAAGTAAAAATATCAAAAATAAGTAGTCTGATTTAAAAATAAAAAGCAAATACCTTGAAAAACTTGTTTGCTGATATTCCACACACACCAATTTCTTTTCTTTATTTTATCATCTGCATAAAATATTTTGAAAGACTTGTGGAAATAGTATCACTATTAGTCAGTCATAAATTCCTTTCCTCCCCTTCACCTCATATTCATTGCTTTGGACCTTGCTAGGATATCCTGATTATGCAGATGTGACAGTTTCACTGGGCTAGCCCTTGGCTAGCAGCCAACGCAGCCATTCACCCACTTCCCCCCCACCCCCAGGGGATAGGGGAGAGGACTGGGATGAAGGGATAAGGAGGCTTGTAGGCTGAGATAAGAACAGTTTAATAATAGAAATAAAAGAAAACTTAAAGAAAAAAAACTTAATATTAAAATAGTAGTGATAATGATAACAGTAATAAAATTTACAAATGAATGGTACACAGTACAATTGCTCACCACCCACCGACTAAGCCCAGTCCGTTCCTAGATAATGATCCTGGAGGAGCAACAATCCCGAACTGAAACCACAATTCCAAAAGAGCAAGAGCCCCAGCGAAAGCCAGAGAGAGTCCCCCCACTTTCCGGTCAGCCCTGGATAATATACTAAACATGATGTGACATTACATGATGTGGGATATTTCATTGGCACATCCAAATGCCAGTTTTGGGCTTTACTATTCACTACTCTTCTCCCTCCCAGTCCTAATGCAGCTGTGAACCAGCCAAACACGGTGGCCTTGAGCTCCAGCAGCAACTAATAACATTAGTACTTTTATCAGTGTTCTTCTCATAACAAGTCTCCCACTAAAACCAAAACACGGCTATTCTAACTACTAAGAAAATTAACTCTATCCTATCAAAACCAGGACAGCAGAGAAAAAAAAGAATCAGTTGATTTGTCAGCCTTAAGTTTATTCTTTAGGTCTGGATGGTGAGACACTGTTCCTAATGCTGTTCAGTTGTCAGGATATTAGGGTTACATATGGGTTTCATCCTGAAGATACTCAATTACTGTCTTACATATAAGACACTTATGTATTATTTCATGCCCAGCCTCTTGATTGTTTCAAAATTACTGCTAGTGCTCAGCTGTAGACAGTAGAAACTTGTGAGCAGATAAAGATTGCATTTAGCTGTCCCTGGTTATGGTGCTGTTCGTCTCCTAGAGCAGAGTGGGCAAATTATTAAAGGCACTAACTACGTTAGTCCTGTCTATCCCCCTCCTAAATCTACCTGCCTGCAAATTGTGGCTTCATAAGACATCATTTGGCTAGACCAATACTCTTTTCATTATATAAAGAGTTAAGCCAGTTTCATGCTCTGGAAATCTAAGAATCTCATAATGTGTGAAAATGAACTGTTAGGATATTCACACCTGGCTACTTAAATTGAATGTAGATGTGTGTTGTCAAAAATAGATGTTTCGCGTAATCTTGCAGTCTCAAATTCTCACTATAGTGCTCAATTCAGGTTTCTGCTGAAGGAAAAAAATTAAGTATAACCAGCCCAAAGATTGTTGCGTTAAATCTCCAAATGTTGCCTGTACACAAAGGTTCTATTTTAACAATTTGAAAAGCTGAAAGAGCCTGTCAGATGGGAAAATTAAATCTGAGACAATTCACAGTTGGCTTCTAGATGGTAAATTTCAAACTTCAACTGAGAATTTCCTAAGGATATTGAAGAGTAAAGAGAGTAGTTATAACATTATGCTGATATATTTTAACTTTATTGCTTTCCAGCATAGAAACATTTAAGTTTATAAAATTTTTGTTCAGAAATATAATTCAATCTTGCTGTTTCAGTGTTCCTAAAAATCTAATGTATATATCTGCTCAGCAAGTGTAATTTGGGATTGCTTTGTGTTTTGTTTACAGTTTAAGATAAGTCAGATCTTGTGTAAAATTTCATTATTTTTTTCCCCTGAAGTACATCACCTGTATTACATTCAGCTACCTTGAAAGAGTTACTCTGTTGAATAAATTTCTATTTATACCATGTTTTTTACTTTATATATATTAAAAAAACTCCTTCAAGACATGCAGCAGTAAGTTGAAAATCAGGCATAAGCATACATAAAATACAGAATAAATTCAGCTTTTAGTAGTTACTCATTGCAGGCATATCAAGGAAGGGAGTAACAAATACTGAATCATATTTACTATCTGCTTTCTCTTTAGGCTTACGAACTCTGTGTTTTGCTGTGGCTGAGATTTCAGAAAGTGATTATCAAGAGTGGTTAGATGTCTATCACCGTGCTTCTACAGCTATACAGAACAGAGTGCTCAAACTCGAGGAGAGCTATGAACTAATTGAAAAAGTATAAAAAGTATATGTAGCTTTCTGGGAGTGGTTTGGGAGGGGGCGGGGCAGGCACAAAGAGAGGGGGGTTTTTTTATTGTCCTTGCTTTCCATACCATGACATCTGAATTATTATTGAGGAGTAATGCTTAGACAAAAAAAATTTAGCAATATACTGACAGCTGTGTCATACAGTTCTTACAATTTAGATTATCAAAATGAAGGAAAAATTAATTTAACAAAGTTTTTGCAGCAAGTAGCTACCTTGCCAGAAAGTATTGATTTTCAGCTGCAATCCTGGAAAGTTTTTTTTCAGGGTTGCTCTATTGTGTAAAAAAAGTGTAATAGCAGGCAGACAACATCTGCTGCATTGTCTGATGATCGTGGAATCATTTTGGTTGGAAAAGCCCTTTAAGATCATAGAGTCCAACAGTAAAACTTAGAACCATAGAGTAGTTAAGGTTGGAACGGACTTCTGTAGGGCATCTAGACATAAATAAATCCCTGCAAAACAGGGATAATTTTGCTTGCCCAGCACTTTGATGAAGTTTTGAGTATCTGCAAGGAGGGAGTTTTCCCAGCTGCAGGAGGCAATTTTTATTTTTGTTTTTTAGTGCTCAACTAGTCTTTTTCCTCTTTTTCTGAGCTAAAATTTCTGTTGCTGCAGAATACGACTATTTTTCTTTCCCTTTCACCGTTCATCTCTTAGAGGAAGATGTCTTTTCTGCAAGCCCTCTTTAGTTAGCAGGAGACAACCATGGAATCCCTCCCTCAGCCCTATTTTTTCCCCATGTTAAGCTTGTGCTGCTTCCTCAGGCACTCTTAATACAGTGTGCTCTTGAGCCCCAAGCTATTTTTGTGTCCCTTCACTGGACTTGCTCCACTTTGCCAGCCTCTCTTGTACTAAAGGCCCAGAAAGGGAGCTGACACTCAGATGCAGCCTCACCAAGAGCAGAGCCGTAATCACCTCTCTTGAGTTTCTGGCAACACTGCTGCTGGAGTAGCCAAACACGCAGTTAGACTTCACTGCCTCAACATAAACAGCTCCCACAGCTCTTAAATGTATAAGCAAAAGGAGCTCATGAGACCAATACAGCTTGAAGTTTTGATACTTGACCTTTTGTGGGGTTTTGGTTTGTTTTTTTACCTTGGAAAGGAGAGAAGAGATTACATTGATGAAACTCCTTAAAATTCAGAGCCTCAAAAACCTGCAGTGTTCAATTCATGAAAAAGAAGAGTGAGGTTATCTAGCTTCAGTCACTTGTGGGACTTCAGTTTACACAGATGAGCAGTTTATCCAGACATGCACAAGACAGTCTTAAAACTATGTATTGTTGTTAATGCCATGGCAACCCTGGTACCATTACACATTTTTGTGTTAGCTGCACAAGTACTTTCTCAGCATGTAGTGTGAAAGCCACGCTGCAACAAGGATTGTGCACTATTAGGTTTATAATGGTGTCATTAGTAGGGTTTTAGCTAGTTCTTAGTTTACAGAAATATGAAGTATAAAAATGGCTGTAGTCACAAAAACTGTATAGGTTTGTTGCATGGGAAGTTAAAACCAAACATAATCAAGATTGTAATTTTAAGGTTAAGATGAATTGACAGGTATTTTTTTTACAAGGTGAAGATAAATCATTACAAATGAGAGCAGACACAATAATAGCAATCCTTATGTATTCACATCAGCAAGCTACCCCTCAGGAAAAGGTAGCTGTTGCTGAACAAGCTACTGAGTTTGTGAATAGTTGAGTGAAGTTTTAGTGGTGTGCAGTTTTTCAAGTCACATAAATATTTAACTTAAAGCTCATAGGAATAAACTTTATTAGTTGATACTAAATCTGATTAATGAATTTAGAGAGCATTAATCTTGTTGTAAATATGGAAAGTTGAACAAAAGAAACTGAAAGATTAAAACTGAATTTAAACTGAAAAAACTGTATGTACTGAATATTTTACATTCACAGAATCTTCAGCTGCTTGGAGCAACAGCAATTGAAGATAAACTACAAGACAAAGTGCCTGAAACCATAGAGACGCTCATGAAAGCAGACATAAAAATTTGGATACTTACTGGGGACAAACAAGAGACTGCCATTAACATCGGTATTATATTTGCATTTGTTTGATGACTTTATTACAGATTTAGAAATGATAGAAGTTGCTAGAGTTTAAATTGCTTTCAGAATGGAAAGGTATCTCGTAAAAAATAATAATAATATTATATGGCATGACAGAATTCAAATGTTAACTTATTTTTCAATCACTGGCAGGGGGAGAGTGGAGAATGGTGGATTCTTCTTCTGGTAAAACAGTAACAGCAAGAAAAAATCATTTTACCATAGAGAAAAGGGAAAAAATAGGCATTTGTGCTTTTTTGTAGCATCTAAAATGAATTAAAAAGAATACATTGTTTGGGTTTTGGCAATGAGAGGGAATAATATTTAAAAATGTAAGTATTCTTAGTTTACCCTCTGTATTTTTCCTATTTTCCAAGAAAGCTAGTAATGACCATAATCTTAACTAAAGCAAAACAACATAGATTGTGCATTAAAGTACTATAAACTTTACAATTAATCAGAGATTTCCTTTTATTCTTTCCTTTTACTAAAGGAGGGAAAAAAAAGAATCATGAATTACTAATTTCAACAGCGATAAATCTGTGCTTTTAAATAGTAATACATTAAAATTGCATTTAAGATTTAATGTTCTTTGCATGTGAGTGTATCAGCACTTATACAGTAGCCTAGATATATGCCTAAAATAAAGTATTATTTTGGTTATATGGATTTTTATTATTATTATTATTATTATTATTATTATTATTATTATTATTATTAATCGTAAAGAACTTTTTGTTTGCACATGATATGGTTAAACTAAGGTTATTTTCATTAGTACCTTCAGGTCTGAGGTGACAGATGTGATACTGTATTTTCACTTTATTCAGAATGGTGATATATATTTGTCTAGTCATCCTGCATCATTAATGCAGAGCATACATTCTGTTTAAAGCATCAAAGAATGGCAACATGTATATATGCAAATTTTGTATGAAATGCAAGTTGCATTCTGAAAACCTACAAGGCTAAGGGAGATCTACTGTTTTCTGTAGCTCCCTGTGAAGATGTTTCTTGTCCTTCTGCTGAGCACCTCTGTGAATATGGCACAACAGTTGAAGGTTGCAGCAAGGAAAATTCTGACTGTTCTGACTTAGTACCTGTATGTCTAATTTTTATTGAATGCAATATAATTTTTTTACCATTGATTTCAGCTGGGGATGTCTTATTTTTAGTTCTGTTTGTAGTTCTCTTACAGGAAAAAAAGGCTTTGTTATATTATAATGGATTTTGTGGAACAATTTTTTTAAAACAAAAATGTTTTTAACAGGTCACTCCTGTAAACTTTTGAGAAAAAACATGGGACTAATTGTTATAAATGAAGGCTCTCTTGATGTAAGTGAAACCTACAAAGTTTTCAGTTAATGAACCATTATTTTACTGCATAAAGTAAGGTAGTTTTATTTAACTACTAAAAGGAGTCCAGTGAAAACTCAGTAAACAAACATTGCACATTAACCACTACTAGTGTGATGATTAAAAAGTTAAATAAATACATATTAAGCATTAAAAAATGAATGTATGTAAATATAGTTTAAGAATAAAAGATAGTATCTGAAATCACAGCTGTACTCTACACCCTGTTTCAAACTGAAGT